ATTTCATCAGGCACAATTATCTTGAAGGACTAGTAATCCCAGGTGAAACATATCCTCATACTCATTTGCCTATCTATTGCAGATTTCTTTTAAAAAAGTGTTAACCTGTGTTGGACAAATCAAAAATTCTTATTTTTCATCTTTCATTTTTTTATTTTACTTTCTTTTTTTTTTACTGTTTGTTTTTATAAGCTAAAAAATTCTTATTTTTCAGATTTAGCTTGCCTTCTAAAACATAATAAAAAAAGGTAACTTGTGAAGGTACCTGAACTTAAGGGTACTTCAGGGCAGAGCACTTTTCCACAGTTAACTTTTCTACACAGTTCAACAGCCCTATTAAAAGGAGGTGAGTTCAAGTAGATTCTGGCATCTCATTTCAAAAGAATAGATACAATCCCACAAATATGGATGGAGATACAGAATGCTTACCCCAATACACAGCAACGTTCCTAGGCAATAAACAGGTGTGCATCTCAAAATGCCACCAGTAAAAATAAACATTCAACTCTACACAAAGTTTTTTAGCTTCAATTCTGAATGATTTATAACCAACAGTATATTAGGTTGCCTTGATTGTTTTACTGGATAGTAGAGCGTGGGGACAGTGGGAATCTTATTCATTTATCAATGGGTGTTAGTTACTATTTAGATGATGGAGCATCTGTATACCTTGAGAGTCATAGTTACTATGTTACTCTCACTTCATTATATTTCTTCACTTTTGATGTTCAGAGCACTGGGCAGAAATCATGTTAGTTTTGGGGACTTTATTCAGATTACCAAGTTTCCCCAAATAGAAACCAGAGTAGCCCACAGTCATTAGCTATGGTATTCTTAAACTAGAAAGGCAAAAGAAAATGCAGTTGCATTTAAAAGTATATGGATAAAATAAAGAATTGTAGTGTGAGAGGGGAGAGGTTTTTGTAAGGTGACTATATTTTAACTCCCACTGACTAATAAGTTTATGGGTGGCAGACAGATGAGGTGTGGTTTAATCCTTCCAAAATTCTACTGTGTTAATCCTTTTTCCTGTTCAAAGAAGCAGTGAGGGATAATTTATGAATGGCTGCAGTTAGAAATAATGGGCTATATAAAGACTCAACAGCGGAGATACAGATGGAATTAAGGGTGTTAAAGAGACCATGGTCTTCTTTGTCATTTGATGGTTTCTGTTGTCCCTAGAGACTCATCAAAAGTATCATTATATTAGGACCAAAGTTTACACAGGTGCCAAATACATGAACAAGAACACCCTATTAAAATTACTCTCAAATGCCGGATATCTTAAGAGAGCAGATGTATATCTGTGGGCTGTCACAAATGTCGATCTTGCATAAGCTTAACAAATATTAGTGGAGACTGACAGAATTTAGAATTGACCTAAAGCCCTCTAAGGTGTCCAGTGTTAGCGAACTTCCTCCCTACTTCTGTATGCATTAGTTTGCCTAACAGCTAGTTGACCTCTGTTTAAATAGCCACAGTAATACACGAGCAATTTATTGCATCTTTGGTCAGCTCTAAATAGAAACCTCTGGGTTTCTAAGAACTGAAGACAATATCCTAAGTTGATTTTTGTCCCACAAAACTGGAGTAAAATGAGGAACTCTATAGGTAGGTGGCAAATAGCATAGATTATCTGGACTTGTAGCTTGCTCCATAAATAGACTTTAAACCAAGTAAACAAGAAGCTATTTTGAGAAACTTAATTGTTTTTCAAGTGCTATATTTAATTCCATGGGAATATTTTCATAAAATAACAGTAATTTCCATTATGTTAGCTACTAGAATTACAATGGCAAGTTTCAGGCTATTTGAAATGAGATGTTACATGTGAAACTAATTTATCCACATAAGTATATGGTTGTGCCCATGTTGCAATAAACTTAAATCTTTCAGTTTCAGTTATTTTTTACTTTATAACCATTGAGTTTTTCTTTTAGGGTATAGCATATTTTAATACTTGCTATATTAATTGTTTAAACAGAAGCATTCAGTGATAATTTGAGATGCCAAAAAAGCATTGTGGTAAAAACCAAGTTAAATTAAATATCCAACCAGCACTTAATGAGTTACTGTGATTGTACATGCATGCATGAAGTTGAGCTTTGTTTACCCTTTTCCCCACTAAGGATTAAAACAGGATTGGACAAACTATTGTAGCAAGCACAGCCTTTGTTTTTATAGCCTGGGAGTTAAGAATGTTTTTTTTACATTTTTAAAAGGTTGTTAAAAGCCTTAAACTACTTCCTGTGTGGCCCCTATACAGAAAAAGGTTGTGGATTCTGGACAAGAACAATTAAAAGAAATATTTTGAACTTAAGACTAATAAAAATACGTAATGCTCAAATGACAGCTAATAAGTCAGAGACCTTGCTGGTTATCAAAGTTTCAGTCAGTACATAGAAAAGAGGGATGCCAGCTTAGCCAGGAGTCAGCATACAAATATTCAGAACTGATTAATGAATAGGCAAATAATTATATATACCATGTCCCAGCCAGTAGGTGGAATCACATGCCATCATTAAAATGAATTTATATTAACATGTAAAAAATGTTTTGGGTATACTTGCTAGTTTAGGGCTTTATACCTGTATCTTAGTAACATATAGGAAGAAAATGTAATTAAAGAACACAGATCACAGCAACTAGAAAATATAGATGAATATAGATAAGTACATCTCTGGTAGGAGTTTTATGTACTCTTTTTATCTACTAGTGCTAGGTTGTTAGTTGTGCATCAACATTCTCTGAAGTATCACGTTAGCCATATCCTTATTTTAAAGAGAAATGGAAGCTGGTAAGTTAAGTAAATTGTGAGCCAAGGCCTGTATCATGCTCACTACTCAAAGAGAATTGGATAAATGACAAACGAAAAGAGATTTTGCCTCATTGAGGAAATTGAACCTTCAAAGATGGCACAACTAGGTTAAAATTTTAATGCAATGGAATTACTAATTACTATGAATACTTTTTTTAAACTTGGCAGACTACTACTAAATTTAATTAAGCATAATAAATAAACATAGTAAAGATTTTCTTTTAAGATGATAGACTCTTCAGTGAGGTATAAACATTTTATGAAGCAATTATCAAAGCTACATTGGATTTAAATATTGGTCATGAATATATGTACATCCTTCCCATAGGTAGCTGTTCTCCTTGACCTGCCTATTTGACTCCTATGCCAATGCTTATTTGACTCCTATGGGTTGTGCATTTAATCACATTCCCCAAAAGGAGAATTTGCTTCATGAGATGCTAATGAGACATGTTTATTTGACTGATGATTTCACAGGACTGAGGGAGATGTTTAGATTGCAGAAAATACCCCATTTTATAAACAAAATCCATTGTGGTTATCTCCTAAGCTTTGATGTATGGTTTAAAAAAAACACACACAGAGACATACTTCAGACCTACCTTCTTAACAGTTTTAAGTATGCAATACAATATTGTTTCTTCCCAGCTTTCATTTCTCACTCAGCTGTCCAGTTTAGTCGTCTTTCACAGGCAGAACAATTTAGTAGTTGAGGGCAGTATACAAACTAAGCAAGTATAGTTTTACACTTGCTTTGGAAGTAGCAGGTATCAGATTCTGTTCTGCTACGTGGCACTGATTTCCAAGGTCCCTTTGGGTACAAGACTGTTAGTAAAAAGAACCCTGTTGCTGCCTGTCACATAGGGACACAGCCATGCATAAACAAAGCGTCTGTCTTACATCTCTGGGGAGCGTCTCACTGGATTTAGCCAACTAATTTTACTAGGTATTTGGCAAGGTGCAACTGCAATGCAGGGTCTTTATATCTTGATTCAGGTCCTGCCTGAGCCTGCAAAAACTTCATTTGTTTAAAACTCTAGCACTTTCCTTCAACCTAGGCCCTTAGTCAGCATTAACAAATGTAACAAAGTGTTGTAAATTTTAATCATAAATAGGTGGAGGAGCACTTAAACTGGTCTAATAAATTTGGAATGCATTATTTCAGAGCCTGAATGCCCTTGAATAACAAAACATTTGTGAAACAGGTTTTTCTGTGGAGAGACCACAGTTTCATCCAGCACATTTTATTTGGCTGTGTTCCCTTTCTATAATACAATAGAATTCTGAGAATTCCAAAGCAAATTTGCACTTTTGTTGAACAAATCGTTCACTTCGGTGGCTGTCATGCCTCCATAGATATCTTCTGGTCCTACACATTCTACTGGTTGGACTGGCCAAAGAAATGATTACAGACAAGCTTAACGTAATCATCTCTAATCCAGTGGTTCTTAAAATGTGGTGCCTGTTTAAGGTGCAAATTCTTGACAAACCTACCATGTCAAAACCAAATCGGTCCTATATTTTGAAAAAAGAACGGTAATCAGAAGAAATGTTCCTCTTTTGAGATATTTAAACTGCAGTGAAGATGTCTCCGCCATTAAAATAAAAGGAGAAATGGTACCATAATATTAGGCTCGTTGTTTACAGAATGTCTTGTGAAGCAGGTCAATATTTTAACACATCTTTTAGGAATGCAGATATAGGGCATAACATGAACAATGATAAAAAGGGGAGCATATTTTGAACCATCGTTGATTTTTAGAGAGCTATGAATTTATAGTGCGATCCTACCAGGAAAAGTGGAGAAAAGAACAGTGCTATTTTGAGCCACACACTTTGCATTACAGCTGAGATTAGATATTCCCTCCTTTTCATTCCTGTTGAACAGGAAAACTGCATGATTGAATAACTTCATATAAAAAGAGTTTTAATTGTCGGAAGTCAGACTATTAAGAAAATACCACTTCTGGCCAGGCACAGTGGCTCTTGCCTGTATTCCTAGCACTCTGGGAGGCTGAGGCCGATTGCTCAAGGTCAGGAGTTCAAGACCCTGTCTTTACTAAAAATAGAAAAATTAATTGGCCAACTAAAAATATATAGAAAAAAATTAGCTGGGTATGGTCGTGCATGCCTGTAGTCCCAGCTACTTGGGAGGCTGAGGCAAGAGGATCGCTTGAGCCCAGGAGTTTGAGGTTGATGTGAGCTAGGTTGATGCCAAGGCACTCTAGCCTGGGCAACAGAGCGAGACTCTGACTCAAAGAAAATACCACTTCCAAGATTAGTTGGGCAGAGGGATTCACCTGACCGAATCAGTTAAAAATAACAAAAACATTAACAATCATCAGAATTTCTATCTAAGAAGTAGTTACCTAAGTGGGTTCAATATAAACGTACTGCTACTCAAGTGACCATATGTTGATTGGCTTTTTAACAAGTTACACTAGTATCCTGTGAACCCAGCCATAACTGAAAAGCAGTAGTGATAGAGAAATGGAAATAGCCAGAGGGAATTCAGGTTCAAATTATTTGCAATGAAGAACCAAACAAATGCCAATAGAAGGTGGAAAATAGGGAAAGACAAACCTGATGGCATGGTTTCTTGAATAGTTCCTACTGGCCAAGACGATAAGCTTCATTGGTTACAAGTTCCTAGAAAATAGGCTTGAATGACCTTAACATGAGTTACTTCCAGAGATACTTTACCCCAAATAGACAGGGATTGTTAACTAGTTTTGTGCCGTGAACCTTTTGATAGCCCCATGAAAAGCTTGTCAGAAGGCTTTAATGTAATGTGCACACACTATATCTACAGCCCCTAGTTAGGAACCCCTTGAAAAGTGTTGTTTCTGAGAGAAGTCTGAAAAGTAATGAGGCTTTTAATTAATCGTGGTATTTCAGTACCATGCAGGTAAGGAATGTGTTATTCTAGTTTCCAGCTAGAATCACCCTTTTTGCTCAAATGATGCTGGAGAAATCAGCCCACTTAATGTGTCTGAGATGAAAACCCACAGTGAAGAATTTTTCTTCAGTAAGAAACACTGACAAAGAACTTAAGCCCTCTTGCAAGGAGTCTGACCAATCAGGAGAAAGAGGTTCCAAGTCCCAATTTTGACCTTTTGTGGAAATAGCCCTTTCACTGTATGTGATATATATAATTGGCACATCATCACTATGAACACCCAGAATTCCCATGTGAGGCCCGCCAACCACTTTACACATAAGAAACCTCTCGATTGAGAATTAGCTCGCTCGCACTCGGTGGTGTGGTATTCTGCCCTCGCGAACACTGCCAAGCCGTCCAAATGTTCGCTCCCCGCCCTCTGGAAGAGCTAGTTGTGGGGAGCTGCCCAGCTGGGGCCAACCCGGTTTGGCTGCTGGCCAGAGCGAGCTGGGGCCTAGCATTAGAGTCAGGGCAGCTGGCTGGCGGCACAGTACAGGGCGTCGCCCAAGCCGCCTTCCGCGTCACAAGGGGCGCCGCCCTCCATCCTGGGAGGGACCGGCTGGGAAAAGCCGATGGGCCGTGGTCGGTGCCGGAAAGCGGGTCACAGAAGAGTGCGGTGTAAGCGGTGAGTGTCGCAGCTCTCTGGGCCGAAAAGGCCGGAAGCCCTAGGGCCGGGGCAGCTGGCAGCCGGGAACAACTTGTAATCTGATCCTCCGCTGGCCGTTGTGCCGGCTTGGCCGCACTTGCTGCCCCCTCCCTCGCGTCTTTTTGGAGGAGCCCCAGAAACGCACTTCCGCCGCACGGGCCTCCGCCATGCCCACTTCCGCCCAGTGCGTTGTGCGGCCTGGGGCCCAGGGCTTTTAGCTTTTTCGTTATTAAAGTTCTTAACCGCCCTTCTCTAATTTAACCCTTTGTGCCAACCTAGTCCTCTCCGGAAAAGCAGTACAGTGCCACTCCCGACCTTTCTTGTCCTTGACGCTGTCTGCTCGCATTCCTAGCCGGGTACAGCGGCCATCTTCCAGAAATACTGGTAGCGGCCAGTGTGTCCATTGTCCTGTGTGCTGACAGGAAATGACCGCTCAATTTTTCATGATGCCGAGCTAGGGGATGCGGAAGCAATAATGGCTCTGCTGTGGGACTGACTTGTTTTTGAGTTCCAGTTCCCCCACCACCCTTAATCAACTGTGTCCAGATTGAAAAAATCTAAACATTCTGAGCCTCTCTTTCCTCGTGTGTTAAAATAGCTGGATGTACCAAATGAAATAAGGTATGCAAAGCTCTTAGAGCAGTGCCAGGCATAGAGCAATATCTGACATAGAGAGCTGTGGGGATTTATTGATCACCTCTTTTGCTCCATGACATGTTGTTAGGTAGGGAAAATGCTTTTGATACTGCATGCCCATGGGAGAAGGCATGGGGATGGCCTCCCACCTGTAGTCAAAGAGCAGATAGGTGTTTGACAGCTCTAAGGTGTGTTTGTCGTCTCTCAAGCAGCCTTTCGTCTACTAAGGAAGTTTCTGCTTTTTTCAACTTGACTCACCGCTTTCTGTAGGGCTTTGTACTGAACAAGTATTCTTTTTGGTATGGTAGACAAGTCAAGGTTTGATAGTGTCATCATGTTTTTATTTCACAGGGAAAACAGAGATGAAGAGGTAGACTAATGGCTTGCCAAGTACATCTTAAGCTGCTGCCTGACAGCAGGCCCTAATGCTTCCCTGCTCTTGGGCCCCACTCCATCCCCCAAATTCTTTGTCATTGCTTCATGGACTGCTGGGTTTGGGACCAAGTGCAAATCTGGGGTGCAGAGCAGAGGGAGTGTCTTTATAAAAGAGAATAGGAAAGAAATGCTAGATTTTTTTTTTAAGTTGCATTAATGACTAGTAGCTGTCAGTGCTTCTTGTGATAATTCATAAAGTAATAAGAAATCAAATATATAAAAAAGATTATTTCTCTGTCTCAAAAAAAAGAAAAAAAGATTATTTCTTACCAAAAAAATGGACAGACTCCAGACTTGTGGTTCATTCACAATCCACTGAGTTTTGAGATATTCTGGAATAATTATACCTTTTCCTTTCCAGGCTGAGTTGTGTAAACTTGGGTTTTAGTTGACCTCTACAATCCCTGCAGGGCTCTAAAAATCCTGTCCCTTCAGACACCATGTTCAGCAACCTATAACAGACTGACTGATACCATCAATAACCACAATTCACACTGTGCAGTGAAATGATCTGATTCCCACACCAGTTGAAGAGCTGGAGGTTCCTTATACTTTAGGACATTTAACTCTCATCTTTTTGAGGTTGAAATGGAGAATTTTATATGAAGTTTAAAAAATACAACTGATCTGTGGTGATAGAGATTAGAAGAGCACTAAGATTTGAGGCAGCATTCATTGGGAGGGAACATGGGGTATAGTTACATATTTCTATATAAGTAAAGGTTCATCTAGTATAGGTTTAAGATTTATGTACTTTATGTAAGTTATACCACAATAAAAATGTTAAAAAAAAATAAAAAGGAAGAATATTTAATGACATGGACATATGATTATAAACTTTAATGAAATATCCTATACAAGGTAATTCCATTTTTTAAAAATTTATATTTTATATATGTATAAGGATATACATCAAATTGTTAATAATTTCCTCTCACTGTTGGGATAATGGAGAGCTTTTTTAATTAGTTCTCTTTATGTCTTAAATGTTCTTCAGTAATTATGTATTGCTTCTGTAATTATGGAAAATAAAAGTTATTTTGTAAATCCTCTTTGTTACTGCTAAGAGATGGGTGTTCTATTAGCTGACTCCTCTGTTTTCATGGAGAAAAACACAATGTCAGTTGGTAAGAAGTAGAAACATTTAGAAATCTGAAATTACCTCTAAAATAAATTGCCTCTGGAATTCGAGATTGAAGATGGAGTCTTGTTCCTTTCATTTTAAGCTCTTGGATATGGGGGTTATTTCTTTTTATCTTTTTTAAATTATATGCATATTTTACTTTGCTAAGTAAATTTTAAAAGATGAAATAAAATGTATCAGTACAATTTTTTTTTCATCCAGTTTATCCTATCCTTTCTTTTTACCACTGAGCAGGCAGAACAAGGAGAAATTAAACACTTAACTGAAAGGCACTTTGAATAGTAATCAGTATCAAGTAGAGACAAATTATAAATTGCTCAATATAAAGCATGAGGGTTTTTTTTTTTAATTGAGGGGACAGAAATACAGCTTCTCAATTATCATAAACTGCATCATACTCTTGGGGAGAGCCTTTTTGGCTTGAATCCATTACTGATTATATATCTTGTACCACTGTGGGAACTGCATGATCAAAACAGTTGTCACAGTTTGTGTAGTTAGCGCCCTCTAGTGCATTATTTTTAAATGACAAAACCATAGTTATCACACTACACGTTGTTAAAAGAAATGTAAATTTTAGTCCACCTCTCTGCACTTACATGTTGTTTTCTAGCCATGTGGTTGATAAATTAGGCTGTGACCTTGCACTAGTTCTTCAACTTTAGGCTTCATTTTCCTCATCTATAAAATGAGGATGATTTGAAACAGATGTTTGGTTAAAAATTTTAAAGAAAAAAAAAAATGAGGATGATAATTGTAAGTACCAGATAGGGTTCCCCTGAGGACTAAATGAGCTAATACACATAACATGGATACCTGGCACATGGCAAGAACTCAAGAAATGCTATTTTTTACATATAAATAAATTCAGTCAATACTGAACATGAAGACAAATAATCAGTCTTTAACTCAGGTGTCAATGTACTAGTTGAAACATAAGAATGTTAAAGTAACCAAAAAATAAGGAATAAAAGCCTAGGTATGATTCTAATTTCTGGTCCCATCTTAATGAATCAATTCATGCCAGTTCTGAAGTCTGGGAGCATATTAAATTTCTTTGCATCCTTCACTGTGCCTGTAATTTGCACACTCAACAAATATTTGTCCTTGTCTTATTTAATGTTCAAGCTAAATAGCTATATGGTAGATCTTAGAAAACACAGAAGTGGAAGAATGATAGATAATAATTAGTATAAGAACTTATACTGATTATTTAGTATAAAACAAAGTTGGACTCAACTTTCTGTTCTTAAAGCCAGAGGCACCAAATACCATTTTTGGGATTAGTGTAGTTTCTGAATAGGCTGTGGACAGGATTTGTGTTATCAATGCACAAGTGTAAAAGCAGCATAATTATACTATGTATTTCATATGTTCACTATGGAACCCATGTGAACCCTTATTGACAAATCAATAGAAGTAGTAGGTTCCAGAATCCTGCCCTCATCCATTCTCGCCCATTTTCATATTGCTTAGGCTATCCAGCTAAAAGTTACTGCCTTTGACACAGTTGAAGAGATACCATCTCCAGATATTCTAGGTGTCAATCCTTTTCCTGCACTAACAGACATGGACTTTAGTGCTTAACACCACTACCTCTTGGGCTCCCCAAGAACCCAGTTGCTTGAGGAAAGCATTGGGTGCTTCTGATCCCCAAGTCCCTGGAGTCTTTGGTTGTTCCCACATATAATAAATGTCCTCATACTTATTTTTCCTATGTGCCTTATGTTAGATATAATTGTTCTCTTCCTTCTTTTCTGTTGCCTCAGTGCCAAACCAGATTCATTTTCTCATGAACAGCTACCAGTTACCTGTGTATTGAGTCTGTGAATGCTTGAACACTATGCTAAGCATTCATTACTTCTAACTTTCACAACCATATCCAGTAAGGTAGAGCTGCAGTCCCCAACCTCTGGGCCAGTACCTGTCCGTGGCCTTTAGAAACTGGGCCACACAGCGGGAGGTGAGTGGTGAGTGAGCAAGCGAAGCTTTATCTGTATAGCTGTGCCCCATCGCCCACATTACCACCTGAGCTCCGCCTCCTGTCTGATCAGTCACTGTCTCATCATCCCCAGATGGGACTGTCTAGTTGCAGGAAAATAAGCTCAGGGCTCCCACTGATTCTGCATTATGATGAGTTGTATAATTATTTCATTATATATTACAATGCAATAGAAATAAAGTGAATAATGTAACTTTCTGGAATCCTGCTGAAACCATCTCCTCTCTCCTCTACCCCCATCCGTAGAAAAATTGTCTTCCATGAAACCAGTCCCTGGTGCCAAAAAGGTGAGGGACCACTGAGGTAGAGGGTATTATCCCCATTTTCTAGAGAAAATTGCACTGGTTCACACAGATAAATGGCAGAGCCAGATTCTGCCTCTAAAGCCAATGGCCTCCACCCTGCATTACATACTTTCCAAGAGGGGGATTTTTGAGTTATGCTGTCCTCAGAAATGCCTGCAAGGAACATCTTGACACTCCCTTCAGGCACTAAGCCATCAGTTCTGAGGCTTGCTCCTTTTCAAGAAAGCCTACCTATCCAGCCCTGCCATAATGATAATTATTAGGACTGTGATGGCTCACATTTACTCTGCTTTCAAAGGTTGGCCAATGGGGGATTTCATTTTCCCTTCCAGAAAACTTCACTGAGCCTCCAAGCTGGGGAAGCAAGCTCTCTTCTGGCAGAAGATTGCAGCTGCTATTATTTAACCACCCTCCCCCACCCCCAGGGGATAAACCACAAATCCCAAGCCTTACAGCTGGGAACACAGATCTGGCTGTGCAAGCACATAAAAGAAACCTTGACAAAGAGGGAGAGGGGTTCACACACTGGCCATTCTGGTTACAGTGCATTGGGCAATGAGCTCTCCCATTGGAAGCTATGTTGCAGAACCAAAGGCACTGTCTTGGCAGGCAAAACCACATTCAATCAGCCTGGGCCTTCCCTACCCATATGCTCATTCACTTACACCAAGCCGTGGTCTCTTTTTTTTTCTTTCATCCCACTTGTCCATACATACTTCTTCCTATTAATCTGTGGTCTCTTTTAATTGCTTTTCCTCTCTTTAACTCTCCTTCCTTACCCTCCACCCCCAGCTTGATCTTGTCCTTAAAAGCTTCCTCCTGGTTTACACCTTAACCTCTTTGTAGGATCCCAGTGAATGCCAGGGTTTGTGTGGGTAGAAGATTAAATTAAATAAATCAAAGCCACAGACACCCGACATGGGGGAGGAGCCACCCAGAGGGTAGAAGGGCCACAACTTGAAAACAAATGACCTTCTTTCATCCCGGTGGTATTTTCGTTTTTTTAAGGTCTGCTGGTCCGGCAAGGCACTTCAACAGAAGCTACGGTTTCTAGAGCTTTTGGAAAGAACAGTAGAGTTGTTTATATGTGTGTCCTGAATTTCAGCAAAACTTGGGCCTGGAAAAGTCCTGTTATTATTTATTTTTCTTTTATTTTTTTTCTTTTTAAGAGTTTCATTTTCTCAACCTTGAAGAAGTCCTGTTATTTAAACAAGTGTCAGTTTCTCCTTTAACAAAAAACAGCTTTTAAAAACAGCTTTTAAGAAAACACATTTCAAAAACAGCTTAATGCATCACATCAACCATTGTTAAATTCTCCATAATTGAGAAGTTTCATAAAATGACAGAAGAGGTGAGATTTGAGAGATCTGACCGAATATCATTTAAGAAAAGTTAAATTTTGTCAGTTCTCAATTATAGTGCTAGCCGACGGGATCCAAAGACAGAATTCCACTGGGACTTTAATTCACTATTCATTTGCATCTGGCATTATGAGGCATTTTAGTAATGAACATTTTAATATGGGTGTGCCTGCAGTTCTGGAAATTTACAACTGTTTACAACAAATAACAAAGCTACTCAGTGAAGATGCTGACAGGGCTGGAATGCTGTCAAATGACTTTTCCAGCCTCTGGACCAACTCTGCTTACTGAGGCCTGGAAACAAAATGGGCTTTGGCTTCAGACAGAGGAAAGTTTAAATCCTAATACTGGTGTGTTACTTTTCAGATAAGTCATCTGGAAAAATGGAGAAAATGAAATATCAAGTACCTTGACCATGGTATCAGAGAATGACCTTAAAATTTGTGAGAGAATTCTCAGACAAAACCATAAAATATATTCAGCATTCAATCAGGAATTATTTTACTCTTTTAAGTAGACTGGGTTGCAACCTTCCATGAATAGACTAGAGCTACTAATTTCTTGGGTTAGTAGGGCTTCAGACCAACCACTGTTTATGACATTCTGACTATAGAGTAAAAAGGGAGAGCAGAGTGGCCCCAGAAGGTCACAAACTAGAATCACTGGCTGAAATCTTTGGTTAGTGAGTATCCTCAACTCAAAAGGTAAGTATATTTTGTGTTATTAAGAGCTATCCCAAAAATTTGAAATTCCTATTAAGAAGTTGCTGCTTGTTGGAGGACTAACAAGCCATTCCAGACCAACAGAACATTCCAACAGCCAGATGATGGGCACAGTGATTTCTCCCTCAGTGGACCCTTTAGATGAAAAGGTAGACTCTAGTCCAACACCTTGATTACAGCCTTGTGAGAGACCCTGAATTAGAGGTACCCAGATTCCTGACCCACAGAAATTGCGAGATAATTTTTTTTTTAAAGTTTCTGCTCCATGGTTCATCCCAAGTCATCCTAACTTATCCTGTGAATTAATAAATGAACAATTATAATTCTCAATAATTTGTTTGAATTTATATTAAGTGGCAGATGTGGCCTTGAGTTCTCCAAACTGCCCAGGAGGCCAGATGGCAAGAAGCCTCATTTGGGCAGCCCTCCTACACAAAACATGCACAAATTGTGAATTGTAGCTGTAGGAGTGGGTGGTTAGAGTCAGGCAGAAAGAGCTGGAAATGAAGTACCCAAGCATACGTGATCTGCAAAACATACCAGATGTTCTGTAGTTTCCTTACCATCTCTATTAAATAACATGCCCTGGATTAAGGATTCATTCTTGATCACTGAGGTAGAATCAGGTCCTTATGTCCATAAACAAAAGAAATCTTGACTAACACAATTGTACATTCTTTCCAAAGAACACATGTGTTTTCAGGTCAGGAAGTTGGAACACTGTTCTGCTAAATGTTTAGATCTGGTATTACTTAGGATATGGGCTCAACAACTGTAGCAGACACCAAAATACAGTAGCAGTTTGGCAATGCCAGGGGCCTGGTTTCCTTTTCTTGTGCTGCCACCCAAAATACCAGACTTCCATTTCACAGTCCAAGGTAGCTGCTCCCATTCCCACATCTACATTCCATCAGAAAGAGAGAAGGTTGAAGACACTCTCCTATTTAAGGGCGGCAATCCACATGTAGTATATATCACACCTTCTTCCACCTATGGCTACATCTAGCTGCAAGGGAAGCTGGGAAACTGGGTGACTCTGTATAGCTAAAAATTCTATTGTGTAAGAAGAAAAGTACAGATTGGAGGATAACCAGCAATTTCTGCCACAGTGCCCTTCTGTGGTTTACCATTCCAAACATACCTCATTAATAACTAATAATTAATAATTAGTGCTGAGCTAAAATCCTATTGAATTCCCAATGTAAAGAAAATGTTGAAAACTGGAGGATAGCTGGGTGTGGTGGTGTGCGCCTGTAGTCTCAGCTACTAGGGTGGGAGGATTGCTTGACCCCAGGAGACTGCAGTTCCAGCCTGGATGACAGGGCAAGACCCAGTTTCTAAAAGAAGAAAGACAGGAAGGGATGGAAGGAAGGAAAGAGAAGAGAGAGAAGAAGGAAGGAAGTTTAGAGGCCATTTTTACCCCCTCTATTATTTATTATTTTAAATAGCATAGGTAATATGTGTTTATTTTGGGGGAAAAAATAGAAAATACAAATCAGTAAGAACTTAATAATTAGCATCATGAGATTCTAACACCTAAGTGTTAAATGATAGTATTTTGGTGTTTTTCTTGATAAAAATGTAGACATATATAATAGAATCTTGTGGTGGTGATTTCCATTATATGAAGGTGATGATGATAAACAGCCTGTACTATTGTGTGTATTGGCTGGGGTAGGAGAGGACTTTAACCTGTCACACAGTTGAAAGAAAATAGAAATTAGGAGATTTGGATTTCAGTTCTACCTCTTAACTGTGTCACCCTAGGCAAGGGACTTAAATTCTTAGTTTCCATTTCTGCATCTGTAAAATGGAATTTTATTTTATTACATTTTATTTTTCCAATCAGAAAAATAAAAGAAAAATAAAATAAAAGATCCCCATTTTGAGATAGTTATGAGAATCAATTATTCCTTCCTGTATTCCTTCAAGTACTCTTGGCTGCCCACTGTGTGTCAGGTATCGAGGATAATACAGACATGCTCTCTGCTCTCATGGAATGGACTGCAGTGGGTCAGACATATCAGGATGTTTTCAGAAACATCAGCTGGGATACATGTGTGAAGGGTTACTATCATGGAGTGGCTACCAACTCCCCATCATGTTCCTTCATCCTTCATACCCCTGCCCCACCGCCCTCCACTTCATACCTGTTCCCCAAGGCTAAAGATAAAGTTCATAAAGGTCATATGGGTTGATATGGTCTGGCCTGGGCAAGCTGCCATTTTAATTCCACTCACCGCCCACCCCTTCCAACCCAGTCAGCCCTAACTCTACCACTATACTGACCCAGATCTTCTGGTTATATCTAGTCTCTTCTACTTGCCCAACCCTCTGACAGGGAAGTAGGAAAATAGAGATTTGTAGAAGTTGGTAAAAATTAATATCAGAGTTCCATTTCTAGATCCAAGAAAAACTTCCTGTTTTGTTAAGACCTTTCTTAGGAGCGGAAACCAGCTCACTCAAATGAAAACCACAATGAATAATTTTACTGATTTGTACCGTATGTTTAGCAAGCCTGGAATCCCAAGAGAAGGTTGGTGAATAAAGAGAAAGCATCGGAAGAGGACTGTCAGATATCAACCCCCCAAGCAACGAGGGCTCTTCCTCACTTCCCCACTTTCTGAGGGAACAATGACAACCAAGGGAGTGGGACAACATCTGGGGCACTTTGACGCAAAGGCACAGCCACCGAGCCCAGCCTCAGTGGCTTGTTCAAGGGCTGTGTAACTTGGATTGCTCATCCTTTCTCCAGATGGAGTTTCCTTTTTTTACAAAAAGATCTAGAAAGCAGCTATATTAGCCTAGACAACTCTGCAGCAACAAAATTAACCCTAGAATCTTGGCTTACCACAATAAAAGTTTATTCCTTGCTTTTGTTAAATGACCAGGTTGGTGGTGGAGCAGGAGGTGGAGACAAGGGAATTCTGCCCAAGAACCCTGGTTGATAGAGGCTTTCCCACCTAGAGCTGTATCACTGGAGCCTTACGCTTCCACCACCTTGGCAGGAGAGGCAGAGAATACCTAGAGAAGTCATACCTGCTCTTCTGTGCTTCAGGCTGGAATTGACACGTTACTTCTGTCTCAGTGGTTGGACAGAACAAACCACAGAGGGACTGGGATAGATGGGGAAGCATATAGAGATTTGGTGAGCTATACATAAATTCCTCTGCCTTAGCAGCCTTTTAATGCAACATGCATGTTACAACATGTTTTGGCAGGCTCAGAATCCCAGACAGATCTTTTGTATCTCAATCTGCTCATGTCTCATCTAAGCTTCTTTCTTTTCTATTTCCTGAGCATCTAGTAGGAAGCCCTTAGATCAAAAAATAGTTCAACTTACTTAACAATAGAGTCTACATAAAGGTTTTTACCTCTAGAGGTTTTGGGGTTTTTTTAATTTTGAGAGATGGGGTCTCACTCTTGCTCAGGCTGGTCTCAAACTCCTGACCTCAAGTGATCCTTCCCTCTGCCTCCCAGAGTGCTAGGATTACAGGAGTGAGCCACCATGCCTGGCCTTTTTTTTTTCCTCCTTTTCACTTTTTACCTAATTAGCTAGTCCACAGGAACTAGCAGCTCAGCATGACCTCACAATATATGGTTTGGGGACTGTCACCCTGGTGTCCCTGGAAGCATGAATCAATCAGTCATTGGAATCAAAGCTGAGTTTTTTTAAAAAAATCATGGAATTTTAAGCTGTTCACATTTAATTCCACAAAAGTGACAACATAAAACTGAAGGATTATTCTCTGAAAGATTGTTGACCATAATTGTTCAAAATACATTATGATTCAAGCCTCCTCTTGCAGTTGACTCATGTTTGACTCTTGTCCAAAGTTTTGTGCCCAGGGAGGATGCTCCATATTCATCATCACTATTAAATGTACATATAGCCCATACATGTATGATGGAGTTCTCTGGTATGCCCTTGGATGACCTTGCAGGGTTAGGGGGAGGGAGTCTCCTTCTAAGTGATAGCTTATCCAGGTCTTGAGTTTTGTCTGCTTTGATTTGAGGACATTTTGTCATCACCAAAAAGGTAGGAGAGAGCAAGGGAAATACAGATCAGTTCAAAGCAGACTTACTTCACAGGGTGGTTCTCAGTCATTTTGTTTTACTTGGCCTGC